TATCTATCTATCTATCTATCTATCTATCTATCTATCTATCTATCTATCTATCTATTTATCTTTCTATCTACTCGTATCTATCTATCTCTCTCGCTCTCTGTTTCTGTCTGTCTGTCTGTCCAACCAGGTCTTCTCAAGTGTCTAATTTGAGTTCATGACGCCAATCCGCTCTACTGTTTTTCTTGACAGCAGGAAAGAACACTATCCTTTTGTTTTTTCTTGTTCTACACAACTGCGGAAACTTTAGTTTGAAAATTATATTGCAACTACGTGTGTAGACACTTGTGTTTGGTATCAGTAATCTCAATGATTGTAATATTGTCACATCACATGCTGGTTCCTGTAGTGTCATTCTGGCTCTAAGAGTAACGGTTGCTAACTGCTGCTTTCAGAATTTCTTACGCTTTTACAGATCAAAAGTATTCATGACCTAACAAAAATAAAGGTTTCATCGTAAAGGAATTTAAAAGACACAAACGAAAAAAAACCTATAGGATGTAGACCTGTACTCTGTATCTATAGACTGAATTTTGATATCGTAGACAGGGCACTGTCATGGCAGCCGCTTTATCATCATCATCCAGTGCCATATATGCTCGGATGTTCTTAAAAAATCTTCGTTTCCTTGATCTTTCCCTGTAACTCATATTTTGTTTAGGTTCCTTTAGTAGGTTGGTAGGGGCCTACCCCTGCCCTGTTTACCTTAAATATTGTCAATTAGATCTAGATGTTCAAGACCTTTACGTCTATTCGGGTGTCCTGAAAACTGCATTTGTCGTTTCCTGATTGTTTTTAACAGGGGGCGTCCCACGTGGGCTTCATCAAGCACTACCTCATTTGATTTATTTTCCTTCCACGATATTCTTAGCAGTCTCCTAAGAAACCACTTTGTGCTCCCTAAAAAATTCGCTTCGCTATGCCCGCCATAGGCGCACAAACGAAGGGAAAAACATCAGTCTCTCTAGGCTAGATCTCTATAGTCACATGCTCTCGCAACCTTTCCTTCCTGGCTCTTCATTTGGTTCTAAAAGGAGGGAAATGATGCCTTCCATAGTGAACAGGAAATACGCCATAGTGCCTTGTAGATTAAAATACAAACAAGTCTATGCCTGAAGCTAATATTATACTGGGGAAAGGGTTTTTGCTATCTCCTCCAAGCAAGCGCATATGTGTGAAAAATTAAATAACTGCCGTTTTCTTTTCTACACATCTTTCATAGATAAGTTAGTAATTAGATGAATGCGTGTTTTCAGCACGACAACCTGGAGCTTAGGGTTTAGATCGTCATATTTTATCAAGTAATGCTTTCGTCCACCACAATAGATGTGACTAAATGACGATAATCTTGCTTACGCTATACCTTTAGAATATTAATATATCTACTAACTGAAAATAGAAATAAACATAAATAGGCAATCCACGCGTCATTGCTGGTCGCCACTCTCTCTGCAGCGCCCTGTTTTTGAGCTGGGGCTATCGGTTGTTGCCCAATGACACATCCAAATGACCATCCACACTTAAACGTGAGTTTGCGGGCTCGGGGGTTCGAGCCTCACCTCGGTCCGACATTGTGTCCTTGGGAAAGGCACTTCACACGACATTCCCATTTTGCTCCCTCAGAATTACAAAATCTATCTGCTCAATATCTAGTTTTGAGAATTTTGACTTCAAAATTTTTGAGTTTCACAACATGTTAAGCTTTATCGAATGCAATGCTTTGAATATCCTTATAACGACTCCGAATATTCTTACAATCTTAATAGAGCAGATAGAGCATTTGCTATCTGACCTCGTGGCCTTAGTAACTCAAAACGGCAAAAAATGTGAGACAGAACTTTGTAATTCTGAGGTAGTGATTTGCCTCGGTCCTTTCGGAGATGGACGTTAAACTCGGAGGTCCCGCCTCTTACATAACCGAGTAATGTTGAGAGAGGCGTTAAACTCATACCACTCACTCACCTAAACGCCTTGTCCCCGGCACACACACTTAACATTGGGAGCCTGAGCTCTCGAACCGGCTTTGAACCTATACTGAAGAGCAGGCCCTCATATTTTTAAAAGTAAAATTGGAAAACAATAGCTCAATTCTGTAGTATAATATGACGATACACAGCGATCGAAACTTACAGTTTTATAAATTCTTCACCTCAAAATTACAAAAATATGTCTCCTTCATATTGAATGCTTCCTTCATTTACAATTTAAAATCTGGGGAGTGTTAGGTTTCTTCTAAGAAGTTACGTTAAGGCCGGCGCCACCAGAATCTGGAGGGACTAAACCTCACTTGGGGGCAAACATTTTAAGGTTTCTTTTGGACGCCATTGTTTATATATATATATTAT